TCATTAATTGATTAGCAGAATTGAAGGGGTTTCGGGAGAGGGAGTGCGGCTGAGCCTTATCCGAAGTATTATACATAAATATGCGACTAGTGTAAACAAATCGGATATTTTAAAAGGATTTTAGGGATATTTAACGCCCTTGAGGTTTTGAAACTCTAGAAGTTGTGGAGATTCTGTAGAAGTTCTGAATACCTTCCGCACATTTTTAAGTTTCCCAAGACTCTCGAAGTTCTATGGGTTCTGATGACCAATTCCAAATTATTCTAAAGGTGTGAAATTCTGCAATCCCTTAAATCTCTGGAAATCCCGAAGATTGATTGGGTTCTTGAGTTTTTAAAGTTTTGAAGATTCTGAAGCGTTTACGAACTCTGAATGAGGTGCCGAAGATTCGAATGTTTCTCCCAGGAATTTGAAGATTCCGCGGATTTCCACAATCTGCAGATTCGTAGTGTTCTCAAGTTCCAATTAAGCTTCTCTCTGGGTCTCATTAAGTTCCTCGAAAATTCAACGTTTCCTTCGCGTCACGGATTTACATTGAGTTTGTTATCCCTCAAACTTCTCTAATCCTTCTCGTGCTCTTTTCGTGTCCCTTCACCCTCCCCTCTATACTTCTACACCACATACTCCGCTCTTACGCTGTGCGCAAGCTTCACATAAGCATTCCACCTTCCACTCAGTGGATTCTGATGTGTGATTCTGAAGTTATCACAAAGTGTTTTTGAACATCTTGAAGGTTCTGACGATTGTTGGAATTCAATTTGACAACCATGTAGCAGCCTTGACGGTTCCTAAGGTTCTAAAAGCTCTTTTGAGAATCAAGAAGTCTCTGAGGTATCCGCGGATCCTTAAAGCTCCGAAAGACACCGATGACTGATCTTGAACGTTAGAAGGATTTTGTCAATTCTACCGAAAGCTTCGAAGGGTTTGAATTTTCCTAAGGTTCTGTAAAATTCTAAAGACAGGTTTTTAAAGGGCCTGCAATCTGCACGCTCCAAAGGTTCTGACGATTCTGGAGGTTTTGATTCTGTGAAGATACCGAAAGTTCTGTAGTTTCTTTTTCGGAAAATTTAATGAATTCCGCCTCCGATAATCGATTTCGAAAATTGTAGGGGGATATGGAATACCCCAGGTTGGGGGCAGACCACCCTAGACCACACGGTTCCACATTCTTCTCCAAAACGTTCAGCACTACTGCGAATATTTTGTGGGTGAACGTAACACCTGGGGGCCTAGGAGGTATGGAATACCCCTCAGGGAACGGTTGGTTTATTGAGATTTTTTAAAGGAGCTGAAAAAGTAGTTTTTAAAAAAGGCAGCCCTTCCCTAGAGGGTATTCCATACCCTCGTGCTACATTCTCCAACAAAACGGTAAGAATTTCGAACTTTCCCTCGAAATTATTCCTTTAGTAAATTTGTTATTACCTTTGTATACGTTTATTTTGCTCATCTCTTTGTTTTGCCGTTAGAGGTTTCTTTTACTTAGTTGTTTGTCTTGTCCTCAGAGTTCACGCTTTGTATCTTTCTGCATTAGATTCTAGGTCTTCTTCTCACATTTTATTTTGCTCGTTTACCTTCACTTAAATTTAATTTGTGGATCGTAAAGTACTTTTCTTGAATTTAACGTGAGGTTTGTGCTGTTACATCCAAACTGTAAGGATAATCCGTGGTGGATCAAAATTTTGCTTTTGCTAAAGTAACGGAATTCGAAATATTGATTCGTATTGAGTATTAATTACAGTTTTTATATCCGATTGCCTCCGTGTCAGACGTTAGCATTGGAATTTCGCAATATTCTATGTGCAGCGCAATTCACCACCACTTTTACTTGTTTGTTGTATTATTGTCTGTTACAGATTAGGCAGAACGCGCCCTTCTGAATTCAGACGGCCGCCACGACCAGAATTCAAAGGTAATATTAGTTACGCGATAGATCTAGAAGTGGCAATTGATATTCTTCCTTGAAAATAATTATGATGTTAAATTTATACTAAAATATTCCACTTGACATTTCCCTCCGACCTACGAGAGTAACTGAACATTCTGGCGGAGATAGCTACGACTATTGATCTGCATACTCAGTGTGCTTCGATAATACCACACTCCTGAAAGGTTGACTGCTATACCTCATGCGTTATCACGTAGTTTGAGTCCTTGCCGTTAATCCAAAATAATAAATGCTGCAAGTTTCCACTTCATCTATTCGTAGGCAAATACTATCTAGTCCCAAGCAATATCAAAATAAGGTGGTCAGTAATTGATTAGCGGAATCAAAGGGGTTTCAAGAGAGAGGGTATCTGGCTGAGCCTTATCCGAAATATTATACCTAATACTATTTTTGTGAAGTGGCAAACGAGATCGGTCGGAAGGAGAACATTCAGACAAATGAAAAATGAAGGGATGTTTTTGAAGCCAGTGTATAGGATCTAATTGGAAGAACGAATTTGTTTTTAAGAAAAGGAAGTCTATTTTCCGGGGCTATTCCATACCCCAAACCCCCCGTGCTACATTCACCTTTAAAATATATTTCGGGTTTCTGTGTATGGAAATCATGAACGTATGGCCGGAGGGCCTGGGGGGTATGGTATCCATACCCCTCGCTGCTACATTCTTCCCCAAAACGTTCAGCATTTAGAGCTTTCGTGTATGGAAAACGTAAACCTAACGCTCGCCTGGGGATTGGGGGTATGGAATGCTACCCAGCGTCAGAGCTGGGTGGTATTCTATACCCCTCAGATAGTCAGACCCCCGATGGTACCTTTTCCCCCCAAAATTCAGCATTTACAGATTTCGTGTACGGAAAACGTAACGCGCCCTGGTGGATGTGGGTATATTCCATACTCAGAGGGTGAGAGCTGGGGGTATATTCTACTAAAGGTTCAGCTTTTAGGGCTTTTGTAAATGGAATACGCAATTTAGCGCCGGGGGGGTCTGGGGATATCGGATCTACGACGACTCAAAATTGAAACAGCATAGAAATTTCCTTAAAAATGTTCATGTAACATTCCCAAAAAGCTAGAGGGCCTCCTACAGTTTCTAGATTATTTCGAAATTGCAAATATTTGGAGTGAGACGTTATCTGCAAGTACATTTACGCAAATAGCTTCCTGTTACCTTTGTTGTAATGTATAATTGCGACACGGTTTCGTGGAACCTTAGTGTAAATGTGAGAGTAGAAATGAAAGTTACCATTGCAATCCTAGTCGTTGCTCTTGTGCCCTACAGGGCACGTCCAAATGGTGAGAGATTTGAATACGAAATTATTATTACCTTCCTCAGTTCACAGCTTGAGGCTGCCAAGGTTTACTTTTGAGGATGATAATCGAGACGCCAGATTTGCAAGAGTGCATTGCGCATTTCACCAGTGCGCATGATTGTAGGGTTACAGGTACATCCGAAGGGCTAACACACATGGCATGCTTGAATGCCATACCTACCAACTTAGTTGAGATATTTACATTTCTACAAGAGGCATCCCGTAATTGGAAACTACATATTCATTGTCCAATTAGATTCCACCTTTGATAATACGTCAGCGCGCCTTCCACACTCCTTAAAGATTTATTTGTTATAGTTGTTGCTGTTAATCTAAAGTATAATAAATGATGATTTAAATACCTATCCACTTCATCTATTCGTAGGAAAATACAGTCTACTCCCAAGCAGTATATTATTCCGGGAGAGAGGATGTGGCTGGGCCTTATCCGAAATATTATGCCTATCTAACTATCTATATTCATTTCAGAACCGCCCCTTCAAGATCTATAGTATCTAATGAGAAAGAAGATTGTAATTATTCTGATCCTTTCGAAAGTACCCCGAAAGCAGTTATTCATCTGGGAGTTATCAAAAGCTCTTGAAATATTCTGAATGCGAAAAGGTACGGTACGGATTTTAAGGATTTTGTAGATCCTGCAGGTTTAGAAGATTTTGAAGGTTCCGACAAATATGGAAAGTCTGACAATAGTGGATACAGGATTTTCGGGAGATGCTGTAGATTCTTAAGAATATTGTAAAGATCTTTTAGGTTCTAAAGGTACTTAAGGCTCTTGAGGTTCTGAAATGTTTTTGCAGTAAATCTCCGGAATCTTTAAATACTTCCTTAAGTCACTCTCAAACTTTGCGCAAGCTTCTCTCAAATACTGCTCCTGCCCATAAACTTCTCACAAAGTACCCATAATACGTTGCCCTTGAGCTTCTCTTAAAATCTTCGCCAGCTTTCTCTAAAATCCAACGCCACGTCAGTAATTTCCTATTATCGCCCTTGCTGTTAATCCAAATAAATATAATAAAGGCTGCATTTCAATGTTTCATCTATTCGTGGGAACATCTTCTCGCAAGCAATATCAAATTAAGGTGATCAATAATAAAATTGATCAGCAGAAGAGGTTTCGAGAGAGGAATGTGGCTGAGCTTTACCGGAGATACTATACCTAAATAATTTTAGTGTGTGAAGAAAAAGCACTGAACGATCGCACAAATACCAGAAGAATCGATGCTTTTGAAGACACTGTGCTAAAAAAAGGTATATCTATTTTCCTTTCAGACCCTGACCCTCAAGTTCTATAAGATCTGATTGGAAAAAGGAACCTGATGATTTTGGGAAATCTGAAGCTTTCGAAATTAACTTTGTGCATGTGCCTAAAGTGTACGATTCCTTTAGTCTCCCTCAAACTGTGCTTAAGCGTCTCTCGAATCCTTCTTTCTTCATATTCTCATAAAACGTCTCCCACAGTCTTCATAATCCGCTCTGAATTTGTGGGTGGTTTAAGGTAGCCCATAAAGTTCTTCGAGAACGTGTATCAATTTGTGGTTTTTACAAATCGATCCGCTCCGTTTTCACGAACGTTAGTAGGTAATTTGTTGAGTGATTTCGCAAATTATTCCACCGGTCTAGTTGTTTGCCTTATGCCCAGGTATTAAGTTAATTATCTTTAATGATTAGTTAATTATGAGTTAATTATTGTTATTTTCTTATAATCGGAGTTTAGCATCCTTGTTTCTCCTAAGTGCAGTCTATGTGCACGCAACGTTTATAAGACAGCGTCAGGTAAGAAATTAATTAGGTGTAAGCAAATAAATTGACCAGTCGATCTGAAGAGTTGGTACTGTTTCGACATGGCCATGAGACACGTTTTGTTCCTGGCTCTCCTGGTATGCCTCGCGACGGCGAAGAAGGTAAGCAATTACTTAAGACTCTTTAACACGTACAAGACTTTTCCGGCCAGATGCCGCCGCAATTCTTGAACACCTGGAACTCGGTCATGGCTCCTAATCGGGAGCATTGCTCAAAGGGGTTGGACATAGACACGGAAAAGGCGAAAAATATGTTTCCGAACGCCCAATTTATCGACGAACGGACTTACCACTGCTACGCTTCCTGCATGTATGTCGCATTGAAGATGCTGTCGCCCGAAGGTGATCCTAGTCCGAAGGATATCTTGGCGAATCTACCGTTCCTTACCGAAGCGCAGGTTCAGAAGTGTATTTCTGAAACGGACGGCGAGAAGGATATTTGCACGAAAGCTTATACAATTACAAATTGTTTTATAGCCGACATCGCTATAGATTGATCGCTTGTTGATGTTGACAAGTAAATTACAATAGCCTTGCATCAATCAGATAAATAATACATTAGCGGTAGGGGGTATGAATCAATCAGGTAAATGGTACATTAGCGGCAAAGGATAGGCATCACGTTGAGATTATTTCTGTAACAATAGAATTTTAGAGTGTCCTTGACTGTTGATAGATAGTTTACTTTGGGCTTTTCAAAGTTGTCAATAACGGACGCACTAGACCGGAAGATGGCGGTAGGTATAGCGGTTCAAAATGGCGGACACATGACAACGTTTTACCTTTTGTATTTAAAAAATGTCACACTGAACAATTAAAGGGAAGTGCTTTGAAAAAAACTTGAAGAGACAGTCTCAATTGAAACGACGACTGCGAAAAAAATTCACAAGAAATTCAAAATAATTGACAGAGAACCGAAAAAGTTATAGAGGAAGCTGGGAACGATTTTGAAAACACTGCAAGTGTTAAAAATATTATGACGGGGGTGTAAGATAACATAGGGGCTTTTTTTTAGAAAACAAAGTAAAATTACAAAAAAATTTCCACAATGATACGCGCCAAAGAAGTTTCAAGAGAACTACAAAAAAAATTTCATGAAAATTTCATTAAAGCGCCCTGAGAGGAGATGCAGTAATTATTACAATACGTTAAAACAACTTCAATAAATCCCAATCATTGCATCAATCCGGTAAAGAGTATACTAGCAGCAGCGGATATGCATCAATCGTGTAAATCGTTAATCAACGGTAGAGGGTATGCATCATAATGAGAATCGCAATCGAATTGCTATGGGCAGTTAGTACATTTAAAGCGCAAATTTTCTTGGAACTTGTCACTAACCCGGACGCAAGGGAGTTTTTAAAAAAAAATTAAGAGAAATATTGAAGGGATCAACATAGCGTTAAGGAAACTCCATGAAAAGAAAAAAGATCGCTTCAAAAAAGTTCAGGTGAGATCCTAGGGTGTCCGTTGATTTTAAGAAACCGAATGGTTTTATTAGAACCTTCAGATGAACAAGTGAGCTTCTAGAAAACATAAAAAAGCGAAGAGAGGCTACAAGGGGGCTACGATTTACAAAACCGCTTGAACAGGATATCAATTAAGCTTATGAGCTTTAAACAGGGTAGGAGGAGCAAACCTGGCTCAGTTCAAGGTCACCCGCCACCTGGTGGTGACTTTGTAACGTAGGTCAATGTGAAATTTAAAAGGTCACTCTTCTCTCGAAGGTGACCGTATAAAATAGGTAAAAGTAAGGCTCAAAGGTCCGTTCGGTCGTTCACCCCTAAGCATCCCCCCCTCCCCCGGTGCCACGTGGTGACTTCGGGAAATGAGTTGAAGCCTTGTTCGAGGCACGTACCAGCTTCAACCATGGGAAAATGAAAACCACTGTCATTTGAAGGTTGTCAAAGGCCAATGCCCCACCGTTTGTGGTGTCATTTCATTTTCAAGGTCATCGGAGGTCAATGTCCCCATTTTTTGTGCTATAATATTTCAGTTTCAGGACAATTTTATTATATGTATTTTATTTTTAAGGTTGTCAAAGGTCAATGATCCCATTTCATTTTTAATAATCGCATTCTTTCCATTTTTCACTTTTTTACTCATTTAAACTCAATGGGCATATTTCATTTCCAAGGTCATCAAAGGTCAATGATTTGCGTAGTGTCATCTTTCCTTTTCAGAACCAACAAAAATCGATACCTTTATTGGTCTATTTTCAAATAAATTCCCCCACGTCTCTCCATCATTGAGACTCCACCCATCATTCCTATAGAGTATAGTGATAGGAGAGGCGCTAGTTGAAGATATATCCCATAATAAATGGATATTTAGTAGAAACTGTGGACTTTCAACGGCGAACAATCTTTGGACTTTTAACGTCGAGCAACATTTGGGCTTTGAACGGCTAGGATTACACTTTGAACAGCAACCAACCTTTAGACTTTGAACGGTGAGTAACTTAATTGCGAAGATCATTACATCGTTAACGTTTGCGGTTGCTAATTAGTTTGAGAGTCTTTATCAGGTGGAGAGCGAGATAAACCTGACTAATTCCCAACGTTAACACCCGAAAAATTGCGAAAATTTTTAATTTGATACCCGAAATATGCCCTAAATTCTTTGAAAATAAAATGGCACCTGTCTGATTCATTGGCCTTTGTTTACTTTGAGAATCAAATATGATACTAAAAAAATTGTTGGGGTTAAAATATACATCAATAAAAGTAGATCAAGGTTCAAAGTACATGAAGTGTCAAGGTCATTATTTGAAGGTGAACGACCGAAGGCGGTCTTGAACCCCTTTTTTTTAGCGCATTATTTCCCAAACCGCCGTCGGTCGTGACAATCTCGAAAATTGTTTCGCATTCCCCAAACTTTTCCCAGTTATCGTGTGTATAATAACTCAGCGGAAGGACGCTAGAAATGCCGACGTATCAGATATTGTGTTCGCGAAGTCGAATGCGACCTATCATCTTCCATTCGTTAGATAAAATAACTTCCGCATGGCTTCAGTTTCGTTTCTTGGGGCGCGTCTTGTTCTAGTTAGCCATTTAATGGAAAATCGATGACTTTGACGTGCCCGGCGAGATTTCTTGTTTGCCCTTCACTGTACATTCAATCAATTAACTCTTAATGGAGTTGACTACTACAAATTTACGTTTATGCAGGAGATTCGCCCTTAATTAAGGGACGTACATTCGGTAATGATGTAAAAAATAGTACACACTTCCGGCCGTATCCGACAGAACCGCGCACGGTGTAAAGCGAGCGAACGCCGCTCAAGCTCGATTCGAGGTTTATACGAAGTTTGAAACGGTTTAATGTCACAGCTGATTACATCGTCTAAATGAGACCAGAAACTTTCCCAGCTTAACGAGATTGCGACGAGGTCACACAACACGGTAACCGTATATTCAAATTTTTCAAATAACACACCCTCGGCGTCGCACTTTCGTGCTCGCGTAATGGGATACGCGAGAGATTTTCGCGAAATTAAACCAATCAAGACGCGCGACGATAATCCTCGAAAAAAACTAGAAAACTACTTTAATAATTTTCAATGCGAAACGCTCGTGCAGTTTTCCATTCGAGTTCGTTAGGAACGCTGCTTGCACATCATCTCCTCGAATTATCCTCCTTTGTGTATTGTAACGTCGTAAGTCGAGTTCGTTCTCAATTTCGAGACGCCGAAGGATTCTTTCGTTAAAGTTTGCAAGTTGCAACAAATTGCGACGGTGCAGTTTACCGTCTACTACAAATGGGATCATTACAAAATTTCAAAACTCTTCATTTGATAGCAACGCGTATTACTAGCATATTACTTTGCTTGTTACAGGTGGCCGTCAGTTCTAGGAAGAAATTTTTTTCGAACGAGTACACTCGATTCGGATACCGGTACTACTTTTTCCTACTTTCTTAATTTAAATTGCTACAAAATGTATAAAAATAAAAACGTGTTTGAGAATAGTAGAAGATTGGTGGGGGTTGACCATACACAGTTTTGCGCTAAATTTAGAGGAGCTGCGCACCATGTTTGCAATTTCTCTCCAACATATGATCGCTTCATCCCTGATGTTCTTCTGAATTATTAACACACTGGTCCTGGATGGCAAGCCACGAGTTTGAACAACCTGGGGGGAGGGGGGAGGGGGGGGATAGCCATTTTTGGGAAATAAAAATTGTATAACTGGAGACACTTTGTTCGAAATGAGTGCCTAAACTTCGAATCCAAACGCAAAATTCGACGTTTTTTTCATTTTAAGATCTAATTATTGAGCTTCAAATAAAACAAGGAGTTTAGTTTAAATTGATTTGAGATTAAGTGCTGAGACATTGAGTGAAAAGATACCTTGTTTGAGTTGACGCTTAAAATTCGAACCTAAGCGCAAAATTTTGACGTTTATTCCATTTTAGATCTAATGAAATGCCGAAGAGTATTTTATTTTAGATCTAATTCAAGTAAAAGTGGAGGCATTCTCTTCGCTCAATTCGAACCCAAACGGAAAATTCCAATTTTAGATACAAGTTGAGTAATAAGCGAGGCACTCAGGTCGAATTGGGCGTTTAAATAACGAAGTCAACAACGTTTATTTCATTTTACATCTAATTACTGAGAGGAGGTAAAAATGCGCCACCTTATCCGCGCCTAAAATTAGAATCTAAACGCAAAATTTCAACCTTTACTTAATTTTAGATCTAATCATTGAGCTTCAAATAAAAGTAAAATAAAGCGCTAAAAAATGCAAAATTTCATCGTTGTATTTTAGATCCAATTATTGACGGAGTAAAAATCGAAACTCATTGTTCGAATTAGGCCTTCAAACCTAAACGAAAAATTCTAAGGTATATTTTTTAGATCAAATTTGAGCGAAAATTGAGGCACATTCCATTTTAGATCTAATTATTGAGCTTCAAATGAAAAGAGTTCAGTTCAAATCGAGGTGGTGAAGCGCAAAATCCCAATGTGTTCGAATTGGCGCTTGAAGTCAAATAGCTATCACTGAAAACTAAAACGTTCAGTTCGAATTGAGCGATTTAACTTTGAAACGAGATCGCGTATTTTATTTTAGAACTAATTTGGCAAAAATTGATGCATTTTTGTTCGAATTTAGCACTCAAACTTCAAATCCAAACGTTTTAGACCTATATGGATTCTGGATTACGATATGAGGGTGAACTTAAATCTAATTAATCAGTTTAATATTAAAACTGGGGAATTTAGATTCAATTGAGCGATTGAACTTTGAAGCGAACTCTAACGTGTCACTCATTAGATGTCAATCGCTCAATTCTAAGTCACTACCCTATCTGTCATTTGAAGCTCAATAATTAGATGCATAATGAAGCATGGTATTTTGGCTTTGGGTCCGAACGGAGTGCCTCAACATTCATTTCAAGTTGCCTAATTAGATCTTAAATTACACGTTGGAGTTTTGCATTTCGATTAGAAGTGTAATGTTCCCAATTCAAACTCAAAGTCCCAACTTTTTGGCCTAAAATTTGCATTTGACCTTGGCTCAAAGGTTCAAGCTCTCAATTAGACTTTCATAGTTCTTTGACATTGAGTAAAATTTTACTCTAAAACGAGGTGCACTAACACTTTCTGTTTGGGTAAGAATCCTCGGAAGCACAAATTGGACTATAGTCATAACCAATTCT